ATACATAATAGCTATTATTAACTTTTCTCTTTAATTCATTGTCTTCCTTCTCTCCTTGAACTTTTATCTCTACAGTTCATACTGCTTAAACATAAAAATACTAGGGAGACTGAAGCAGGAGGATCAAAAGCTAGAGGCCAGCCTGGGCAATTTAGCAAGACCCTGTGTCAAAATAAAAAGAACTAGGATGTAACTCAGTGGTAGAATGCTTGCATAGCAGGTGTGARACCCTAGGTTTAATTCCCAGTACCAAAAAATTAATAAGCGAATTAAATTACTTGAACACTAACTTATCACTTTTGATAGATCAAATTATTCACTCCATATTATGAAATCAAYTATAGTTTTATCTGTAGGATGCAGATTGAATACATGAGGCATTCAATTACAAATATTTATGACACCTAGTATACATGGAAAACATACTTTTATAAGTCATAACTGCTTCTCCTGGAAAACCATAACTTAGGTATACATAATGTATTGCTGGTTACAGACACAATAAGAATGGTGAAAATCCTACAATTATAAGGATATAGTTTGCTTCAAATCCATAATGAAATGTGAAACTGYCTATAGTTCTCACAAAGCTATAATTAATTGAATCCTCATTTTGACATAAGCCCTTTTAAAAGAAAACCTAATAGAACAAAATAGTGATATTTCAGTCATTCATGATATATCTCTAAGCATTCAGCTGTTGTAGTATGCCACTATTTCTTCATTTAAAATGAGTTCATTTACTCATTATTGAGCACCAATTGTGTACAGTGGTCACAATGGCACAGTGCCCTAGAGTAAAAGGCTCTAGGGTCTTAAGATGGTTCTACCACTTCCTATTAGTATGATCCTGAGGCAAATTACTCTCATTAAGACTCAGTTTCCTCTCCTGTGAAATGCACAGGCTAATTCCTACCTCTCACTGAGACAACACACTTAGACCAAGGAGTGCTATACAGAAATCACCCATGACTAGATGGTTCTTACTACATGATATGCCATGGGTTTATACTGGTGTATAAGAGAGACATGGCCCCTGCACCTGAGTAGCTTATGTTTTAGAAGTTAAAAAAGAAAGATAGCCTTTAAGAAGTTTGCAAATAAGTTACTAGTTTTAAAGTTATCACTTAGAAACTCCTGATGAAGTCTACAGACTGGCAGGGTCTGCTTCACAGACATCCATGACTTAGCACCTATTATAAATCCATCCCATGTTTCAGTTCCCCTGAAGTTCTTTCTCCACTTTATACCTTCTGTATTTTGGGGGAATCTATCTATAAAATTACACTGAGTGAAAAATCTTGCCAGATTGTTTAATGACCAGACAATAATACCAATTCCCTCTYTAACCCTTCCCCCTCTTGCTCATGCATGTCTCCTTAGTATCTTAAAATACTTCACTGCTGGGCATGGAGGTGTATGCTTGTAATACCAGCAATTTGAAAGAATGAGGAACAATTGCAAGTTTAAGGCCAATCTCAGCATAAAATAAAATATAAATATAAAAAAAAAGGACTGGGGATGTAGCTCAGTGGTAGAACGCTCCTGGGTTCAATCTCCAGCATCCAAAACAAAACAAAAAACCTCATTGACAGGAATCTTTTGAGGTATCCATGGTCTCTGATTAACAATTTTATAACTTTATTATGGTGTGAAAGTGATACACATTCAGTTGAAATTATACTTCAAGTTTTGAATTTTAATCTTTTCCTAGATTAGAGATATGTTGTWTGATACTCTCTTGAAGCTGAGAAGTGACAGTGAGCCACAGCTCCTAGTCAGCCACATTGTCACTACAGGAAATGACTGACACTCTGCAGTGTGTTGTGTTGGTAGGCTACGATATTCAGTAGGTTAGATGTATTCAATGCATTTTCAACTTCTGAYGGGTTTATTGGGGGCATACTACTTTTGAAAATAAATGCAGATTTGTGCCAATCTCAGGCCCACAGACGTACAGTCCTCTTGCTATAAACCGTTGAGCCTCTATAAGAAACCTCAGTTGCCTACTTTTCTATTCTTTGTCACATTCAATGAATTGCAGAGAAATGTTCTGCCTGATAGCCAGGAGACTTCTTCTGTCCCTAATATATATATATATATATATTTTGTGGTGTGTGTGGGGGTGTACTGGGGATTGAATCCAAGTGCACTTTACCACTGAGCTACATCCCCAGTCCTTATTTTTTGAGATATGTTCTCCTAAATTCCTCCAGCTGGCCTTGAATTTGTGATCTTCCTGCCTCAACATCCCAAATCGCTGGGCTTAAAGGTGTGCAGCACACCAAGCCCAGCTTATCCCTAATTTTACAAGAAAATGAAGCTTTATATACTTATTTTTCCTATTGTTCATTCTATTGACTCTTGAAATTTGATGAAAATCGAGTCCTTTTCAAATACAGAATGAGGCAAATGTTAAAGCTCCTAGAACAGCCTCTGAAGATGAGCCACCCATWCATTTTGTTTCCTTAGTGTAGGTAACTTGTCAATTTCACTGCATAGCTCCAAGTAAGTTAATTACAAAGAAGGAACTCAACATTGATATGGTAAGAAGGCAGATATCCATTGTTTAGCTATTGGGTAATTATTTCCTAGTTCCTAGCAAAGACCTGTAAGGGAAATAGGAGATAGAGTGTGGTGAACCAGTCTCTCTTCCTTCTGGTTGCTGATTTTGGCAAAGGCCACAATAAGTCAGCAACTAACAGGCCCACATGCAGATCTATTTTAAGCTTCCTGGCTGGCACCACTGAGGCTATTGGACCATCTCCATGTTGTCAAAGCTAACCTCCAATACCCCCACCCCCAAGGGTCTTTTCATCTGCCCACAAGAACACCAGGCCAATCTGGTCAAGCATTTGCTCATTTCTAAGTTTATTGTAGGTCAACAAAATAACTAAATTTTAAGAGTCACATTCAAAAACTTTAACATTTTTAGTATCATAGAAAGTATTTGTGTAGACAAAACAGGCATTTTTGCATAGTGCTTTCTTTGTACCAGGCTATTTTTGAAGCCCCTTCCTCTCTCCTTGCCAGTCCCTTCTCTACAACAATCTTGGGTTGTTTTTGTGCTACTTTTCAACAACTTCAAACACTAAAGGATCAAYAGGTTGTTCTAGTGGTTAAAACAATCTCTGAGGTCAAAGTACCAAACCCAAAGGCCTGAGCCCTGGCCCTGGCTCTGACAAGACAGACATGTGACAACAAACAACCCTTTTTAAGTAAGCCCATTAGATGGCCAAATGGAGCTCCATCTAGAAATAGGCCAAGGTCAGGCCAGAGATGAATCAAGACTGCTCTAGTGTACCAGCAGTTGTCACCTCTGTAGAAGGACTGGCACTTTATAATGTGCATGTTAGTGCATCATAGAACTTTGCAACTTGAGAACAGAACTTATGACCTCTATATAAGATTGTTTCAGACTATCATTTTGGGAGATTTTATTCTGACTCCAGAAATATCTTGGCATTCAATCCTGATGATAAATTCTTTATATTTAGTGGGGGCAAATATTAGGGTTTTTTTCCTGGTATTGGGGATTGAACCCATGGACTTGTGCATGCTAAGCAAGTGCTCGACCAATGAACTACATTCCAGCCCTTATAAAATATTATTTTGAGTCAGGGTCTTATTAAATTGCCCAAGGTGGCCTTAACTTCAGTCCTTTTGACTTAGCCTCTGCARTAGCTGTGATTACAGGCATGTGACACCATGTCCCACCAAATGCCAGTTTTTTTAAGTGTGGGTATTATCTTCAGAAATAGTCATGCAGAACTAGTAATAAGATGGGAAAATTAATACTATTCTGGTATAAAACCAAAGAGCTGTCTATAGTAAAACAAGTTGGGAGTGTCCTGTGCAGATCTGAAAACTATTTGAACAGGGGATTTTAAAAGTGCTCTGAAAAATGACAATGTCAGTATGGAATAAGGGTATATGCAACTAAGGTCACAACTTTGAAGAGGTCATTTGCTATGGATGCATAAATTCTGGAGACTCACAATCATTGGTTTATAGATATCAGAGAAGTCTATTATAAATATTTCTGGGTCCACAGGCAGAAACTCTTAGCTTCAATGACTTGATCTCCATACTTAAAAAGCAGAGACTAAAGGTAGTAGCACTCATCATATAAATTAAATTGACAGACTAAGGGTCTAAGACTCAATATCTTAATAACAATACCATCTCACCATAAAATCTATTGCATTTGAGGATCTGGGTCTCTTGCTTTCCTGGTGCCTTAATCTATAACACTGACTTGAAACATCTTTAATAATAACAGCGAATGCTTATATAGCACTTGCCATCTTTCTTAGCAAGTTATACAGAGCAACTCAATACAGCCTGGTGAATTATTTCTACTTTTATTCTTAAGATTCTTAATAGCAATAAGGCACAACAGAGGTTGCCCCAGACCATAAAGTAAGGTGGCAAAGGGGGACTGGAATTCAGAYAGTCTCACCAGATATGTTTATAATTACAATGCTACACCATCCTATGCTGCCTCTATGAGACAAGAGAAAACCAGATTCACAAATGAGATTCTTAACAGAAAAATGAAGGAAAATTTATGGGAAGCTCATCTGAAAAGCAAAAAAGGAGAGGAAGTGAGGCAGATGGACCTATGTAAACTAGGATGAAGGCCAGAAGATCAAGATCAGCCACAAGAGTTCCCTGGGACTTGTCAAAAAAGACTCTAATTTATTTAGAGAATAGAGGAGGAAGTTTGAAAGACCCAGGTGTTAACACCAACTATTTTGGGGCCAGGTGGGTGGGACAAGCCTATATTCCCAGACACTAGGGAGGCTGAGGCAGGAGGATTACATGATTAAAACCAGCTTCAGCAATTTAGTGAGGCCCTGAGCAATTTAGAGACCTTGTCTCAAATTTTATTTTGTCTCAAAATAAAAAATAAAAAAAGGCTGTGGCTCAGTAGTTGAAAGCCCTTGGGTTCAATCCTTAGCACCAAAAAACCAAACAAACAACAACCAATCAACCAGCTAAACAAACAAAAACCACCTAGTTTGGGTATAGTTTTTCCTTTATTACATAAAAATCCAGTAATTCAGGAATAAAAGAATCCACAGTAATGGTAACATGATAGTTTTTATATCCAGTCCAAATCACTTCATAAACTTTATTGGCTTGTCAGCAGTTATACATAATAAATCAAGGTCAACTCATTGTCTTAACACTAGGCAGGATAAGTGCAATAATCTCTCCGATATCCCAAAGGAAGCTTTTAGAAGCCATTTTCCTGTAAAGATGGGATCTGTGTGGATAGAGCTAAGTGAGGAAGCTTTTAGAAGCTACTTTGCCATAAGGAGTGGGTATGGGTGAGTGGAGGTAAATGAAGGGCCGGCCCTCAATGTCTTCAGTTTGGCCATATTCAGAGCCAACGCCTAACCTCCTCTCACAGGTGCTGAAACTGTCTTATGTTGGGAAAATGGATCTCACCATTGGTAATGACTCAAAGGATCTTCTGACTCTCAAGTTCAGTTCTCTTCACAACTTTTGCAGACTACAGTCTATCCCTTTTCCTTGTAACCAGTCAGGGCAAACGAAGCAATACTGATTTCACAGTCCTTCAAGGAAGGTGACCACACACCTATTGGACGAGGAAAATAATTCTTTCATCTAAATTTCTCCTGTTCTTTAACTAGCTTCCTCTGCCTGGGATCTGAGGGGCATCTAGGAAAACAATATCCGAATTAATGGTCCTAAAATCTACAACTCTATTCTGAATGAATGATAGCAAGAGCTGCACTCAAGACTACGTCGCAGGTTGGGGTGAACTTCAAACGGTTTAGTCTGGAGTTGGGCCGGGAGTTGCTCCTGCAGTCTAGGCTGGGAAACCTGCACATACCGGCGATGTGAGTCGCGGGGGGCGGCGYGGCGATCAGGCCGGCCTTACGCACGACGCGGCCAGCGCCGAGGTACCAGATTCGCGGAAGCCCTCCTGGCGGGACAGCAGCCCGTGCCCCGAACCCCACGCGCGCAAATGATGCTTGGGCCCGCCCAGGAGACAACTCCTTCCTGGGCCAGCCTCCCACAATCACCACCACACAGCCCAGCGTACAGCGGACCCTCGTACAACTCAGTCCCGCCTTCCATCAGCTATAAGGCGAGATCACGTGAGCAGGTCCGGGCAACCAATGGGCGGCCCTCGCCGAATGGAAGGGATTGTCTGACCCCCGTGACGTCACAAAGCTAGCGGGTAATGCGCTCCTCTTCCGCCCCCGCCCTCAAGGCTACTGCCCGCTCTCCGCCTCCCCGCYCACTCTCCACTGCGCAGCCAATAGGGAGGCGGGATGCGCTCSGGCCGGAACGTGAGGGCGGGGCAGGGTGGTGGCCCGGCGGGGCAGGGGCGCGGAGTGGGCCGGCCGGGGGCGAGGTGCCGCGCTCCAGGGAGCTGAGCGGGTTGCGTGAGAGAGCACCTAGTGGTGCCTTCGCCGCCTCCTCGCAGGGGAAAAACTGCTAGTCTTCTGCTGTGCCCGGTTCGTATTCTTTGCTCCCCGCCCCGACCGGAATCCTCCTCCACGGTCCAAAGTTGTGAGGGGGGCGTCGGGGTTGGGGTGCGCRGCGCTCGTGTGGAGTGACGGCCGCGGGCGTGCGGAGGGCGGGCCGGTGGCGGCCGGGGCGGGGGCGGACGGAGCCCCAGAGCGCCAGGTGCACGCGGGTGCGTTGGGGCTGCAGGTCAGGCGTGGCGGTGCGGTTAGCTGCTGCGGGCGCTAGCCGGCCGCACTGGCCTCTAGTCCTCAGGGTTTCACGCACCGGCTGTCAGCACGAGGGYGCGGTGGGAACCCAGGAGAGAGTGAGCTCTGGAGAGGCTGTGGCGGGCKGGGCGTTCTTTGCCTAAGGGTCTCCCCTGACACACCCCGTGGGCCTCGTTGGCTCCGCAGGCAGCCGTCTCAGGGTGGCCCCTGGTAGTCTCTGCTAAAACAGGCGCCGCGTGGGCCGGGCGGGACAGGCAGCTGGAGGATGCCGCGCGCTGGTGGGCTCCGCGCCGGAACTGCATGGAGGGACCCAGGCGAGCCTCAGCTCGCGCCTGGGCCCCCACCGCCTTGGGCTGTGACTCTGCCTCTTTGGCAGGGTGGGTTTGTTTGTTTGGTTTCTTCCTTCTCTCCACCCCTTTCTCCCTCCTCTATCCTCTTTCCCCCTCCCAGCCCATTCACCGGGCTGAAGCAAGACCTCGCCCCTCCTCCGCTCCCGCCTCCCTGCTGCCGCCTCCTCTAATGAGCATCTCTGCCTTGCTTTCAATGGGCCGGTACTGCTGTCGCTGCTGCTGCTCGCGCGGGTTGTGGATGTTGTCGGCTCCGTGTTGTGATGACAGGAGAATGTGTGTGTGTCCCGGGCCCAGACGAATTGGTAGGTATTCACTTAACTACCTGCGTTGGGTACCCAAGGAAGGATGGTGACTGATTTTGTGTGTGGATGGTTTTAGGTGGGTTGGCATGGAATTAAGGCATCAGGAAAAAGGGACAAAGGCATCCTGGACCAGGATAGCTTTAATGCCTCAATAAGTGCGATTTTCAGGTAGGGACAAAGGAAACTCATCAAACAAGTGCTGGCAAGGTGCTTTATGTCTTCTGAAGGAAACAGGTTTCTTCATTCATTGAAGATACAGGAGCTACGAAATGGCTAGGCATTACCAGAAAATGCTAAAAAATCTCAAAGAGTTTTTATGCAGTGTATTTAATGCAACCAGATTACATAAACTGGGGTTCCGATTCATAATATTGACTTATCTTAGCATTTCTTTTTTCATTTGCCTCTGAAGGTTTGTAAGGCTAAAGAGCTCCAGTGAAGGTGCATAGCATTTTCTAATTATTTTGGTTTGTTGGTTTACTGATAATGTAGAATAATTTCATGGCACAGGCTCTGATGAACACATAGGTAAAAAATGGATGGGTCTTTTTCCTATTTGTGCCAGTGCATCTTTCCGTATTAGTCATTGGCAAAATCGGCCAAATCTTCCTCCGGCTGAGATGCTGCTTGTATCGTGGCTGAGTCTGGATCATGGGGAGGGAACTTTTCATTGAAATTGTGCTTAGGAATAACTTGGAAATTTGACACTGCTCTAGTTAACCAACAACTGGACCTTTTTGTACTTGTTGCCAAATCCAAGAGTCTTCTACTTGGTTAATTAAGCAAGTTTATCAGCAAAACTTTTGATTCCATAGGGGTTTTTGTTGTTAAGGTACAGACATTTTTAAAGATATTAAGGGGTTTTCAGYGCTTGCTTACTACTATTTATCAAAGCATTTGAATGACTATTGACTTCTAAAGGTATCTGGTCTGATAAAGAGAATATATCATTTCTACTGATATGATACAATACTAAATCACAGAGCAGGGTTTTTCTAAATCACACCTTCCCTAAGAATTTGCCTTTTAAAGGCATGTTAGGAGCTGGGGGCTCTGAATCTCAGCCTATATGCTAAGCCCCTGAATAACTGAAGATACATTTGAAAAAAATTCCCTCTCTGCTTTTTTGTCTTTAGTCTTGAATACTATTGCTTTGAAGGAAAAAAAATGTAATTGAGTAGATTGCTTGAATTTAAATATTATTCAAAGCACCTGCTGCATGAATCATGAGCTCTTTAACACAAGATTTCATTCATTGTGCAGTCAACTATAAAGGCAGAAAAAACTACCAAAACAAAAGAATTTAAGGAGAGTACAGATCTCCTGGACTTGTTAATCCTTGATTAGTGTGCCATCAAATCCTGTTAGGCATTTATTAACCTCCCACTCCCATCTTAAGTTTTAAAGAAAGAATAAATACAGACTTATACATTATGAGGAAATGGTTTCAATTAAGATTTCATGTGTTTTATATGTTTAATAATAGAAAAATCTTCATACACAGCATAAAATGATTTAATTTTTTTGCATGCAAATCTAAAAAAGTAATATAGTTTACATCTGGAAGCCAAAGTCATGTGGCCCAACATTTGAGCACCTCTCCTCATACTTAACCTTTGGATGACTTTCAGGTATTCATTTGAAGTGTTGTTAAGTGGTTAGGCCTGATAGATTCTTCTCGTTCTGGAATTTTTACCTTTCATTACTGCATTTCAGAATGCTTTTTTAGCTATGAATTCTCATTTCCCAAATTGTAGCCATACTTTCTTTTACCTGATCTTGTCTTTATTTTTGTAAACAAATCCCTTTTTAAATAGTGCAGTTAAAATAATTGTACTTTCTACCACTTGTGAAAGAGGTTCTATATGGCTGGCTTATTCAGTGCTTACTACAAAAGCAAATAAGAATTGGTGATTATTCAGTTTTTAGTTTTCTCTGTTTCCCCACTTACTATTTCTCAAATTACCTTTCAAAAAAGGTGCATAAAAAGATTTAAAATATAACTAACACTCTGTATGATAGCTATAAAATTTTTTTCCTCCTTGGGTTCGAACTTTGGAAAGAAAGGTTTATATTAAGACTTATGTGGTTTTAGTTTCCTATTCCTTTTTGTTCACTGCATTTGCTTCTATACTTAAGTATTTCTGAAATCTGTCTCTATATAGTTCAAATGAATACTTACTTTGAAGCAATATCTTAAGAATTCCGGGAAAGTATGTGTTGAGGAAAAAGAGAGATATTATCTAGAATAATGATACACATTCATTAAAATTTCCAGATAAATGCCAGCAAATCATTTTCAGGGCCATGTGATTTTTTAAAAAAAAAATCATAATTATAATGCCATACCCTTATAATCTAAACCTTTAACTAGCTTTTCACTGTTCTTTGTTGCTTTTTTAGGGCAGATAAATACCTTTTTTTAAAAAAAAGTAAAAGAAAACATCTTTCTAGGGATGGGTTCTACTTTGGATCCATAGTAGATGATAACAATATTTCTGTAGCTTTCTTTTGTGACTACTAAAAAGGGAACAGTGTACACAAGAAAATTCTAAAACTTGAGGTTAAAATTTCTATGAAAATTTTAGAGTTACTAGAATGCTTACTTTTTTTTTTAATCACAAAGGGCACACAGCAAAATTCAGCAATGAATAAATAAAACCTGCATTAGATTTTAAAGATTCACATCAACAACCAAAAAGATATGAATCCTAGAAGAGGCCTTAGCATCTAGTCCCAGTATTTATTTAAATATAGGAGAGTGAGACCCATAGAAGTGAGCTGACTTTTCCAGGGTTATTTGATAAGTTGGTAGCAGACCTGTGTCCCTTAGCTTGCCAAGTTGGCACAGTGGTCTAGAGAAGTAGACATTGCAAGACCATCTACTGAAGTACAAGAAGAAAATATAGGAATYTCTATTTTTACTTCATTATGTAGAAAACTTTCTATATAGGTCGTAATGAACTTTATACTGATACAGTGATATGTGCATATAATTTACAAGTAGTGTATAAATATACATATGTTGGGGGAGCATCTTAACATTTTGGGGGTAATAACCATGTGTAATCAATGCCAGCAATTGACCACAAGTCTAGAAACAGATCGTCCTAAATGGAAGAAGTGTCTGAACAAAATGGGAGATTCAAAGCCTTTTTAGGATAGAGAGGAAGAAGGGTGATTGGCCAGGTAGATTGCTGCGGCATGTTATGTAACCTTCATCTCCTCAGCTTTCTCCAGCCAAATCTTGTACATTCTGCACAGTTTTTACTGCATAAAGAAATTCAGAGAAACAAGTGAAATCAAATACACCTCAGTCCTAGCTCCATGAATGTTTGGGAGTTTTAATTACCATAAAACACCCTGGAGAAATAGTACATGATATGTGAATAAAATATACTAACTCCTAGCACAGGGCTTAGCTTATAGATTCACTTACTAAATATTTTTTTTTGAAAGCAAAGCTAGATTAAATAATCTGAAATGTAACTCTCTTTGTGTACATCTGTCTTAATTTGCTGTCTAGGAATCCCAGTCAGAAGTTCCAGCCTGCCGCTGTTCTCTGATGCCATGCCAGCACCAACTCAACTGTTTTTTCCTCTCATCCGTAATTGTGAGCTGAGCAGAATCTATGGCACTGCATGTTACTGCCATCACAAACATCTCTGCTGTTCATCACCCTACATTTCTCAGAGTCGCTTGAGATACACACCCCATCCAGCATATGCTACCTTTTGTAGGCCCAAGGAGAACTGGTGGCAGTATACCCAAGGAAGGAGATATGCTTCCACACCACAGAAATTTTACCTTACACCTCCACAAGTCAACAGCATCCTTAAGGCCAATGAGTACAGTTTCAAAGTGCCAGAATTTGATGGCAAAAATGTCAGTTCCATCCTTGGATTTGACAGCAATCAACTACCTGCAAATGCACCCATTGAGGACCGGAGAAGTGCAGCAACCTGCTTGCAAACCAGAGGGATGCTTTTGGGGGTTTTCGACGGCCATGCAGGTTGTGCTTGTTCACAGGCAGTCAGTGAAAGACTCTTTTATTATATTGCTGTCTCCTTATTACCCCATGAGACTTTGCTAGAGATTGAAAATGCAGTAGAGAGTGGTCGGGCACTGCTACCCATCCTCCAGTGGCACAAGCATCCCAATGATTACTTCAGTAAGGAGGCATCCAAATTGTACTTCAACAGCTTGAGGACTTACTGGCAAGAGCTTATAGACCTCAACACTGGCGAGTCAACTGATATTGATGTTAAGGAGGCTTTAATTAATGCTTTCAAGAGACTCGATAATGACATCTCTTTGGAGGCTCAAGTTGGTGATCCTAATTCTTTCCTCAATTACTTGGTGCTTCGGGTGGCATTTTCTGGGGCCACTGCTTGTGTGGCCCATGTGGATGGTGTTGACCTTCACGTGGCCAATACCGGGGATAGCAGAGCRATGCTGGGTGTGCAGGAAGAGGATGGCTCATGGTCAGCAGTCACACTTTCTAATGATCACAATGCTCAGAATGAAAGAGAACTTGAGCGGCTGAAATTAGAACACCCAAAGAATGAGGCCAAGAGTGTGGTGAAACAAGATCGGCTGCTTGGCTTGCTGATGCCTTTTAGGGCTTTTGGAGATGTAAAGTTCAAATGGAGCATTGACCTTCAAAAGAGAGTGATAGAATCTGGCCCAGACCAGTTGAATGACAATGAATATACCAAATTTATCCCTCCTAATTATCACACACCTCCCTATCTCACTGCTGAGCCAGAGGTAACTTATCACCGATTAAGGCCACAGGATAAATTTCTGGTGTTGGCTACTGATGGGTTATGGGAGACTATGCATAGGCAGGATGTGGTTAGGATTGTGGGTGAGTACTTAACTGGTATGCATCACCAACAGCCAATAGCTGTTGGTGGCTACAAGGTGACTCTGGGACAGATGCATGGCCTTTTAACTGAAAGGAGAGCCAAGATGTCCTCTGTGTTTGAGGATCAGAATGCAGCAACCCATCTCATTCGCCATGCTGTGGGCAACAATGAGTTTGGGACTGTTGATCATGAGCGCCTCTCCAAAATGCTTAGTCTTCCAGAAGAGCTTGCACGGATGTACAGAGATGACATTACAATCATTGTAGTTCAGTTTAATTCTCATGTTGTAGGGGCATATCAAAATCAGGAATAGTCAGTGGATCTGGCAATTCTGAAATAAATATAAAGGGCAGATAGATTTTTTTTTTTTTAAAAAAAAAGACATACTTACATAATGAACATTTCCAATGGGTCATTCTAAGCATTTACCCATTCGACAGTCTAGGTAGTCACGTGTTCCAAATTGACTTTGCAGCAGGGTGACAGGATCATGAGCATCTGGTTTGCCTAGCTCAGACCTCATAGCACCTGTGCTCGAGGCCAGTCAGTTTTTTAAAGTAGGTGTCTTGAGATATTGACTTCTTTTACCAATCTGAGAAAACTGGGATCATATGACAAATATGATCTTGCATAGACCCAAAGCAAGGATCTTGGGTGTATTCTCTTGGTAAAAGGGAAGAAATGTTACTGTTCATACCTGTAGATCCCTTTCTTCACTAAGATTCTAATGTACATGAGAACATTTATTTATTGCATGATTTTCTAGGTATATAATCTATGCATTATTCACATAAATTTATTTTAGCCTGAAGTAGTTTTCAGATCCAGTACTCTAAGCCATAAATGACCATGAACCAAGCAATCTGAATTTATAAATTTTTGTGATTATTATGACAGGAGTGCTTGTTAACGTGTAAAACTATACTCCCTTCCCTACCCCTGATTTCCTTAATGTAATTGAAATATTTTCTGTTTTGCCACACACTGGAAGATGATAAAGGTTTTCGGGTTTACATACTCTTGCATTGATTAAAAGTTTTTTAGTTTGTATTAATGAAAAGTTGTATTTAGTTTGAAATAAAGATATCTAGAATAAAGAGAAGAGACTGATATGTTCAATTATTATCATCTGCAGCCACCAGCACGTCATCCTTATATAATCCCCAAAGGTTTGGCATGCTTTAATGTGTGGTGGGTAGACTGCTGCCGGGAAATCATACTTCTTAGTAGCAATAAATAATTTTGGAATTTTAGGGATGACATATATAAAATAAGTTTAATTACCTATTTGGGTAGTAATGTTTAGTATAACCATCCGGTATTGAGATGGGAGAAAATTTTTGGTTTTCCCTACTTAGACATAGGTCAATTAAAATATTTGGTTTAAAATTGCTAAAGGCTTTAAACATACTGTAGCTTAAGATAGTGTTAAGATATATAAATGAGAAATTTTTAAAAGGTAACTATCATGCATGCCTGATGTCATAGAACACTTAGTAGCATTGAGTGTTGTTTGCAGCAGTCTCCATGATTATAYGCAGTCCCTTCTAATACTGTATCAAAGTGAATTAAAATAAATATATTCAAATTGGCTTTTTGGGAGCTTATTTTATATGCATCAAATGACATTTTGTTCCTGTGTTTAATGGTGATCTGTGTACAGCTGTGCATATATTTCCATCACTTACTGTTAAAAAAAAGGCTATGGCTGTGTTTGAAATTCACATAGATTTTAATACAAAACATGATCAGCTTTCTGTTGTATAATTAGTTGGGTATTTAGGAGTCCTTTCAGAATTCTGTAGGATTGAACTAGATGTTCAAGGACTCTATCTCGCCTGTGGATAATAAATCAGTGTAATATTGGCTGCAAAATTTGTTCCAATTCAAAATAGACTCAGGAAGATTGTACCTCAGAACATTACATAACATTTGTTTTCTGAGGTGTTTTTCTGTTTTGTTTTAATCAGCTTGAACCTTTTTTCTTAGGCAATATTTTGGAGGGGAAAAGACTATACTATTTAGTTCTAAATGCCTCAACAGAGACAATTTCTTTTAATGAAATATATAGACCATGGTAGCAAAACCCATTTTTAGCTACTGTTTGAATTCCTTTTGAATACCACCACTGAAAAGTTCTATGCTATTATAACCTGAATAATATCTCATCTCTATATGGTACAGGTAAAATAAATTTGATTTCCTGTGGTCGTGATCAAGACAATAATTCTTATTACATAAGAAGCTTGGTCTATAGTCTGAAAGCTGGTCTACTTTGGAAATGAAAATACAGTATGGAGTTGATATTGTGGAAATGAAAATAATTGGGTGTTAAAAATCTGTGCTGTTGTAATTGGTTGTCACTATGATATGATGTCTAGAATTAAAGTCAGTAATGTAAACTTTCATGATATGTAGCCTGCCTTAAATTTATTTTAACTTTCTAACATGTATTTAATTTCTGTAATTATATTTAATCAGTGGCTCATATCTGTAGTATACCATTAACTAGTTTTAAAAAGTTTGGTATAGTACACAGTACTTGTTAGGAACACTGTTTTATGGAAGTGTATCTGTGCAAAGACACAAAACAATTTATATCTAATATAAAAATTGTCAGATAAATGCCCACAGTGAATTAAAGCTTCRTATCTGCTTTCTGAATGGCCTTTGTTGGTTTTTAATCATTAAATGCTTTCTACGGGTGGTGGGTTATATTTAACTTCAGGATCCAGTAAGTAAATAATATTTTTTAGTTGGTATATAATTTACATTCAATAAAAATGGGAAGATTTAAAATTTATCCTATGAGATTTGGTAACCACCATCCCAATTTTCGGCAGGAAATTTCCTCATGCTCCTTTCCAGTTAACCCCTCCCAATGTAAGTATTGTTCTGACTTCTCTAACCATATATGAGTATTACCTTTCCTACAAATTAATATGAATGAATTAACGTAAATGAAATCGTATATACTTTTTTGTCCGACTTTTGCTCAATGTGAAATTCTTTTATGTTAAGTATATTTTATAACTAAGTAGCATTCCATTGTTCAAAATTATCACAGTTTATCCATTTAACTGTGTTATTAGTCCTCATCTTACCAACACTTTCAAACTGATTTTTAGGAAGACTGTTTTGTTAAGGTGTAGCTTTAATTTTGAAAATTGCAGATGAACTTTTTGTTCCTTTTTTCAGTACTAGGGACTGAAGAGGACTCTACCACTGATTACATCCCCAGTCCTTTTAATTTTTATTTTGGGATGGTTATATTAAATTTCCAAGGTCTCACCAAGTTGCTGAGACTGTCCTCAAACTTGTCATTTCCAGTCTCAGCCTCCCAAGTCTGTAGGATCACAGGCATGCACCACCATGCCCAGCTGCTAAACTTCAGATTCCTTAATTGTCGGACTGGATTTTTGTTTGTTTACTGTGGATTGAACCCAGGAGCACTCTACCACTGAATTGCAACCTTTTCTTTTTTTTCTTTTGAGACAGGGACTCTCTTAGTACTGAGGCTGGTCTTGAATTTGGAATCCTCCAGCCTCAGCCTCCTAAATTGCTGGGATTACAGGTTCATGTCACCTTGCCCTGTGTTTATTTTCCCCCTCACTTTGAGTTATGGAAATTTTCATGGTGCATTAGGGAATGGTCCTTTGCTATTTACCTCTCTGTACCTCTTCTACTGAGAACTTTGCATTCATTAAATGATTGTGCTAATTACTATCCAGTGAGGAAAAGGCAAATAATTATAAGTTGGTTTTAATGGTCTTGGTATATCACTACAGGGCCCTTGCTGTTAGGGATGAAGAAGGAAGTGGATAAAATGCTGTTATGAAGACGAGAGTTGACTTATTTCTACATTTTTAAAACAAGGGTAACACTGCCTAGAATGACRTTTCCTATTCACTAGTCAGTACTTGCCTGAATATAGGATATTATTAGTTTTGTCCTTGTATATAGTAGGACAGTCTAGTTAGCTATGTTATCCTTAATATGTGTGTTTATGTACTTAATTATGAACTTTTTTTATAAATAGCAACAATTGCTGTTCACTATAGAATGTATCAGATTTCCAAAAGCTGGGTTCTGTTAAAACTGATGTAGTAGTCCCATTAACCACTTCTAGATGAGCTGTATAAGTGAAGACCTCTTAGTGACATGGGAATTGTGTTACAGTATGAAGGTCATTACCTTTGTTCTTTTCAGAATTTATTTTGAAAGTCGCACTTAATCCTCTTAAATCCTATCTGTCTGGTTCTTAATACAATTTATACCTTGAGTGAATTTTGACAATAAACAGTGTTGTTTGCTAAATAGGTCTCAAATTATAAGCCCTTGAAGTGAATATATTAAGAATGATAAAATTTATGTACCCTAGGTACCATTAACAATGGTTATCCTGTGCACATTTTTTAAATGGTCACATGATTTAAGTTCAGATATCTAGCCAGTATTTGGATTCTAAACCTGTGCCTATATCTAATTTTAAATCACCATAATCAAACTTTTTGTTGTTGTTTTTTCTAGAGACTTTCAGTTTTTTAAAGACAGCTCCCCACCATCACCCATCCTGTGGGTTATATTTCTCTCTCTCTTTGAGCCAGCACAATATTGAGTAAAAAAAAGTTCAGCATTCATTTTATTTTACATTAGAGAAACACAATCAATTAAAAAGCCTAAGGGAACTTTAGGACTCTATCTTCCCATTCATCAGAGTTAACATYTCAATCAGATGCAGGGAAGTAATTTATTCTGGTAACTATCATTTCATTTTAYGCTTTAGAGTCAGTGATTTCTAAAACTAGAACTAGTTTTAAGATATTGCAAAGAACTTTAAGAGTACCAATGTACAAATTAACCCCTTCGCAGCTCCCTAGAGGAGACAGCTTTTTATGTTTCTAGAGAGAGACCTGAAGGTTTCAATTGTAAAAGTGAATCAGTTGGACCCAAAATGTCCATTGAGTTTACCCAGGAAAGCTACTGATGGTTCCCACCTGCCCTTTACCTAAGGAAGCTCCTTACCAAGCACAAAGTGGTAGAAGTGTTCCTTTGGGGGCTTACTAAGAACTGTTGCTGCTATTTAGAACTATCTGGCACCTACTCTGGCAGGACTGGGCATTTCATCTTGTCCACCTTACTGCCCTCACCCAAAGGTGATGAGGAGTTTTCCATCTAAGACCCTGCCCTGCAGTCATGGGTTCTCTGCTTTTCTAAGCAATATCCAAGTCACTGACTTTCTGCTTGCAGCACACAATCCACCAATCTAATTTACAGTGCGAGGAAGTTCATAAATGCATTCAGCCTTCAGAAACCTCAAACCCTGGGCAACTCAGCAACAAACAAGCAGCCAAGAAGAGTCAAGGAACCAATGATTTTATCTCATTTGCAGTGATTAATCAGGTTGTCTCCTTGAAGGATGCAGACTGATTGGCTGGCGGTGTTGATGAAGAGGCCAGCCTTCTAGCTGAACGCTAAGAAGGGGAAACGTGACAAGAGACTTAAGGGAGAAAAAAAGAAAACCAAGAAGGAAGAGAATGGTGTCGGCAATCATGGTAGTGATTAGAGGGAGTAATGAGGGCAGGGAGCAGCTGATCCTCTGATGCCTTGGACCAGTGACAGGGATGAAAGCAAAGCAAAAGAAAGACAGCTGTGTGTTGAACAGTGGCGAAGTGCACAATTTTAAAACACATTTTCAAGCCCTTATGAACTCATGCATTTTATGCTGGGGTAGCAGCAGTTGGAATGCAAGACAGTTTTTATTATCATGGCCACTTTGTCTCGGTCCATTAGATAAGAAAGAAAAAGGAAAGTTTTTGAAGCTGACCATATGGAAAAGGATCTGTGGTGCCCAGATGGAAGTTTTTTTTTTTTTTTTTTTTTTTTGCCAAAAGAATTTTGCTTAGGAATTATTTTTTCTTGCTCCAAACCTGTGAATAGGTTAAACAGTATAATTTAGCCTGATGAGAACAGAGGCAGGATAATTAAGGCCTTGATGTCAGGAGAAACAGCTGCAAGACTGAGCAGACCAAAGAGAGCCTTACCAGAGCAAGGCTTTCCTAACTGCAGTCAAATCCCTGTGGCTCYTGGTGCTTAAAGGTGCTAAGGTAATATCAAGTATCTCCAGAAAGTACTCTGACCTTGCAGCTATAATAATGCTCAAAGCAACCACAGCTATTTCTTGAGCACTTACTATGTGCCAGATCCTGTAAGAATTACTCACATTTTCTCATATAATTCTTGTGACAGCTAGTCCCTGGCACAAGACAACCACTTCTCTAGAAGTCTCTGCCCTCTTGTGGGTACCAGAAAGCCAATCCCTGTAGGCTGCACTTCCCAGGGTTCATTTGCCTCCTGATGTCATTTTGGTTCAACCAATGGGTAACATCAGCAGCTAATTAGGATGGAATGAGAGAGGGGATGGGATATTTCTTCCTTATTGCCTCCAAGGTTGGGGCTTCACTGCAATCCTCAGCTCTAGTGCCCTGCAGGCCACCCCTCTTCTAGGATTCCAGGTCTCACAGGGCTCAGGTTAACACTATTTCTTCTCTCTGTCCTTCAGCCTTATGAGCCATAGTGATTTCCTAGTCCTGCTAATCTCTGGTTGCCTCACCAACCTTTCTTTGTTCCCTCACCCTTGCCCAAACCTATGTAAGTAATCCATTTGAACCACCTAGGGTGAAA